CACCACGCCCACCAAAATCACCCCGATCACCATTATTTTTTTTTTGCATGGAAATGGCCCCACGTTGTCCCCTGCCCTCGCACAATCCCTTGGCGCACGTGCACTCTTTCTTTGACAAGCGCGCGCCTTAAAGCTGTCTGAGCGCGTTTGAGCGCGGCAGGGGGGTCTTTAAGAGCGCACTTAAGTGCACTCAAACGGTTTCATAGATGGTGACAGCTCCCGTGGGTGCAGGTAAGGTGTACCTCGCGAGGCCCTACCCTGTCGTAGGAGTGGAACAGGGGCTGTTGGCACCATGGGTACTTCGGGCGCTAGGTATAGACTTTCTCCTACAAGTCCCATGGGTGTGCCGGGCACCCTCCAAGCTGCGTCTCCACCCCTTGCGTGGTTGATCAGTCTACCCCCCGAGGACGATGTGTATCTCAAAGAATCAAAGGAAAAAAGAAAAAGAAAAAAGAAAAAAAGAAAACATCGTGGACCTGTCTCCGTCTCGACCTCCTTTGGACGTTTATCGTTTTGTGCGCGTCATCCCTTCCGAAGGGGCTGCTCACACTAGGACTCCCTCAGATGAATATGACTGCAATGCGGCCGACTCTGGATGCATCTGACCGCAAAGTCCTCGAGGGAGTACGGTCTGTACTGTATGGTTCCAATCCTCGGAGGAAGATGTGCACCTGTCCCGAAAACATCCTGTGGACCTGTCTCCTTCATTGTCCTCGTCGTTATTTGTATCTTCAGCAGCATTCAATGAACGATATCGGTGGAAGACATTTCACTCATGTCTAATGTTGACCGTAAAGCATCGTGAAGACTAGAGAGGCAGCCGTGTGTTGACTGGAAGGGAGGTAAGGCCGGCGGCTGCACGCAGACGAGACGGTGGGAAAGCCGGGCATCTGACGGCCAAGACTTGTGGAAGGCTAAAGCGTCATTGACGAGTGCCGGCGCTGCCTTCCCCGGGACTGCTCTCTTCTGGGCACGGGGAGCATTAGAGGGTCTACTGGGACGGCGGCAATCAGACGGGCGGGTGATGCTGAACCAGTGCTTGAAGAGGGTGGTGAGCCGCTTAACAAGGGCAGGCCCTCCGCAGAAGGCGGCGCTGACGGGGCAAGTGATCGGTCTTGGACGAGCGGCGGTCGTTGGATCTATTCTGGGTGCATTCAAGTTCCGGGAAGGACAGGCGAGGCAGATGGCTTCGAACGTTGAACCTCCTCCAAAGCACTTGCCGGCGCAGAAGCAGGAGGCGCAACCAGGAGTGGAACACGTCATGACGCCGCGGCCGCGTGCGGAGCGGCCGGGATACCAACCTGGCAACAAGCTGGAAGGCAAGGTGGCGCTAATTACCGGCGGCGACTCGGGAATCGGTCGTGCGGTCGTCCATCAGTTCGCGCTGGAGGGGATGAAGGGCATAGCCTTCACGTACTTGAGTCCGCGAGAGGACAAGGACGCACAAGAGACGGTGGAGATTGCCGAGAAGGCCTTCTCGCAGCGCCAGCAGGCGGCGACCGGTAGCAAGGATCCGGGGAACGGCGGGAAGTGCATCAAAATTCCGGCGGAGCTGGGCGCCGACGAGAACTGCAAGAAAGTCGTCGACGAGGTGGTCAAAGCTTTCGGCAAGATCGATGTTCTGGTTAACAACGCAGCGGAGCAGCATTACCACGACAGCCTGGAGGAGATCACGCCTGAAGAGTGGGAGCGGACCTTCCGCACTAACATCCACTCCTACTTCTACCTTACGAGGCATGCGCTGCCGCATATCCCTGAGGGGGGATCAATCATAAACACCACCTCTGTTAATGCGTATAAAGGTCACCCCACGCTCATACCGTACACGGCAACGAAAGGCGCTATTGTAGGGTTTACGCGGTCGTTGGCCATGTCCCTTGTGTCGAAGGGAATCCGGGTGAACGGGGTAGCGCCGGGACCTGTCTGGACACCGCTGATTCCGTCGTCAGCTCCGGAACCGAAGAAGGTGGAAGGCTTCGGCGAGAACGCGCCAATGGGACGAGTAGGCCACCCAGACGAGATTGCTCCTTCTTACGTCTTTCTGGCGTCGGAAATCGATTCTTCATACATTACTGGCCAAGTCTTGCACCCCAACGGCGGCTACGTTCTCAACACCTAGGTAGGTGGGTTTGATAAGCAACGAGATCATGGATGGTGTCGAATTGGGAACGAACGAACAGGAAGTAATAGATTGTGCCGTGAGATGCATCGCTGCAGAGCGAGCCGGTGATACAAGAACTGCCTGCTCTTCTCGACTACGTTCTTCGCGTTGTGGTTGTTGTCGTCGTCCTCGTCGTCAAATCGCATGGATCAGAGGTATTATAGGTAATCTGTTCCTGAGAGGAGCTTACACAGGATTGGAAGGGGTATGATAACGGTCCCCGACCAGAGTGTGGATGTAACATACGGCAAAACGGAGTTGTGAAAAGGGAGGTAATAGAGCCACCTCTTGAAGTGGCACGTGTCTTTAGTGTGCATTAGTCAGGTACTGTGCCTCCCTTCATTGGGAGGGTCCGTGAGTGGGTGGTACTTCCGGTAATGAAACGTGTCTTGAGTGTACATTAGCAGGGATTCTCTATGATTGGGAGGGTGCACGAGTTCGTCGTGTTGTTGTTGTTGTCGTCGTCGTCGTCGTCCCATGCAAATGGCGCAGTCACTTCAAGATTTTTTCCGGAGAGGAGCGTACACGTTGTGAGGGTCTTCCACTTCAGAGCGTATGTGACGCCCTGTGGGTAATAGGTGTATGTGACGCCCTGTGGGTAATAGGAGTAACGGAGAATTAGAGTTTTTTTGTGGGAATGATACCTGTCCCTTGATTGAGAGGCAACGTGTATCGTTGTGACTGATAAAAACAATCTTGTATCGTGGATCGTGACGTTGTATTGTGTGACTACCGTGAGGGATGCGTAGCATGGATATTGGAACTATAGGGATGTCCAGGAAAGAGGGATGGATTAGCATTCTTGTGCCCTGTGTGTGTTAAGTACACCGGTCTGAATACGGAAAGCATGTGTGACATGTGTACCATGTGTGACATTTGTACCAAATCGGTGTGTTCCTGAATCAGTGTGTAGACTTTTTGGGTGGTCCTATCTCCGCCCAGATCACTCAAGAAAGTTTATGCTCTCCCAATTCATGAGCATACAGCGACGTCCTTGAGGGTATTTGGAGAAGTCGCCTCCGACGGATTGTACCTTCGCTGTGTGTAAGGATGAGCACGGCTTGGCGTTGAGTGGGAAGACGTTTCTTTGTCGGTGATTGCGTGCTTTTCGTTCTTTTTCTTGCGTGCGAAGACATGGCCTTGTGATCGGTTGTCGATTGCGCGTGTGTCCTCTCTGCTTGTTTGTCGTTAGTGTGTCTCGTCCTCTTCGTCTTCTGCTCCTTTCAGTTTGGTATTGCTGATATGTTGTGATGGCTGGGGGAAAAGCGGGAGCAGATCACCTCTCTCCTCAGCAGGAAATGAAACGCGGCGGTTATATTGTGTGAACCGGCTGCGGTGGTGTCGAGGTTTGTCTCCTGCTTGCCCTCCGTTACCCGTTACCCGCTACAATGTGAGTGCTGACTTGTTATTGCTGCCGTTGTGAGTGCCGATCCAGAGGAGTGTCTGGTCATGAAGCCGGTGTGAACGCTTGAAGGAGATGGTAGAGATGGGTGAGAGTCTTATTACGCGTCCTGAAATCGTTTTCACTGGATCAGAGCGGGGGCCCACTATCTCGGCCAGACTGAAGGCAGCAACAAAGGCAGCTAGAGTGATCTGTGTCTAGCCAGGTGAACTCGTGGAGAGGGGTTTAGTTTAAGCTCTTGGCTGGCTGTATGTATCAGTGCTCCGCAGGCTTGTGAGGTTAACGGCCACCGCCGTCTCCCCTGGAAGAGAGCGGACGGTCACTATCGCAGCTATACTTAAAACTGCGCCAAACTCGGCTAAAATGGCTGTTATGTACTCAGGTGAAGGTGTCGTTCAATCCCTTAGGAACGTGGTGGCGCCGGTACTGCACTGTGCCACTGTCTGATTGTGAACATCCCGGCCACAACCTTATGTTGTTTTCAAGAGGAAAATGGTATGATACTCGTATAACACGAAGGGAAGGTAAAAGAAGTCTGTTTGAATCCCATATTGAGTGAACGGTCGGCCAGAACCCCGCTCTGTTTTCAAGAGGAAAATGGTATGATACTCGTTATTATTATAACACGAAGGGAAGGTAAAAGAAGTCGATGTTTCCCATATTGAGTGATGGTTAACGCGATTCGGCGAGGTACTTTTCCTCCCAGAAGACGTCGTCATGAATGCTTAGTTGGGCCACTTTGCAGTCTTGACATGGCGACAATGACAGAGCGTTCTGTTGGGGTGAAGACGGTAGGGAGCTTGTGTATGCGTCAAGCCTCTGTTGCGGAATGTGGCAGTGTACACGACTGTGACCATAACGATTTTTGATGGGCAGATTGCAGAAATACAGCTTGTGAACGTATCATACCAACTGTCCCGGTCCGCGCAGGTATGGTGGATATATACGGGGAAAGTTGCAGAAAGACCGTTTTTGGAATTTTTCTGTGCAGATTGACCGGGCGGTACCAGCTTTCGTAACAAGGGATCCGTGGGCCTGGCCCGAGGCAAGGGCACTTAGGCCCACGGGTCCCCTGTTGCAAAACCAGGTACTGCGCGGTATACTGGCCTCTGAAACGTCACGGTTCGGTATTTTTACTTAGATGTACCTCAAAAGAGGCTGGGCTGCTCGCAAACGTGTTCCAAGGGGAAAAAAAAAAACAAAAAAAACAGAATAAAACGTGTTCAACTGCTTGTTTATCACCCTGCCTGCGCGGATGGTGTAGTTGCTACTGTACGTTTTACAAACGATGTCTTCGCGCAGGGGTAACGAATTTTTTGTGTGGGTCGTTCTCTATTTGCATTTGGTATGCGGACTAGCAGTAGGGTGGGTTTTACACCTCGAGGCTTAGTACTCTTTCCTCAAGGACGGTACACCCTCATCATATTGTATGTCCAAAACTCTTGTGATAAGTCGGGTGATCTTCGAGAGACGACGGTAGTTGTAAGTCCGGACTGCTTGTGATGAGGAGGGTGGTCTTCAAGAGACGACGGTAGTGAGGAAGGGAAAAGACAGGTTGTGAGACATATCAGGCTCATAGCTTGGTCTTGTGTTTGTGGTTGCCCTTCGGACTGTGGAAAATGTGTAGTCAACGGGAGTGTGAGACTGAGTATTCAATTTAAGGATTGGATGGGGAACGTCGCGGGGGATGGGATCTCGTTGTCTTGGTTGATTTGTGGCTGATACTCCTCTGTGTGTGTGTGTGTGTGTGTGTGTGTGTGTGTGTCTCACACATATATGTGAGAAGACGTGAATGAAAATGTGATGAATAGGGTTGTGATGGAGCATTGGAGGGAGAGTATGCGTCGTCGGGGCATAATGATTGTGGAAAGGTGTAAACAATTTTATGTAAACGGCTTCTAAACGATGTGCCTGGTCATGTAAATGGTGATCGAAATGGATTGAATTGTAAAGCGGGTTATCTAGTCTTATGGCCGGTTTCGGGAGAAAGAGCGAGGGTAGGAGTATGAGTTGAGTGAATTAGACGGTGAGGCCGGGTGAGTTCAGTGATCTAAGCGGTAAGCAGAGTGATTAAGACGGTGAGCAGAGTTATCTAAACGGTGCCAAACGGTTTAAGGGGTGCTCAAACTAGGTCAGTTTAGGGCGAAGGAGAGGGGGTGGAAGTACGAGTGCGTGTGATTGATGCTGGAGAGATTGCTATCACGAGTGAACTCAGTGAAGTACTACTTTCAATTTTCATGTTCTGATGTGTAGACAGTGTAGGTACACCAGGGGTCACGGGTTTAGGGTTTTGGCGGTCGATGCTGCACGGCACACTTTGCCCTCTCGGAACAAGGCTTTGCACCGTTGCAGGGCCGACTTTCCGCTTTTCACAGAATGAGAAAAGCCGACGGCCTTATGGTATCATGATCTAATTGACCAGCCTATGGCGGGGTTGTATTGTTCGGTGGCATGGGATGGGCTTAGGCACGCTCGGGGGAGTCGGGGGAGTCTACCATTGAGTCGGTGTCGTATGAGTAGGTGGTGTGGGGGAGGAGGGGCGGAGTTGTGACGGAGTTGTGAGGAAGGAAGGTGGCTCTATGTTGCCGTGCGCGTGTAGCTATGCCATATGCACTATTGACTGTGATTCCATGGACATGTACATTGTACAACCATGCCAAATGTACTGAGGACTATTTATCCATGGACGTCCTGATTCTATGTATACTCAATACTATGGAGTCTGTTATATGTACGAGTAAGGGCTATGTTTGGACTATATGTATCCATGGACGCACTAATTATACTATGAAGCTTTTGTCTATGTACGATGGTCTCTGTCCCCATGGTGTTCTAACTGACGTTATATACTATGGACTATGGGCTATGTTTGGACTAGTATCCATGGACGTACTAATTATACTATGACCATCTGTCCCCATGGTGTTCTAACTGACGTTATATACTATGGACTATGGGCTATGTTTGGACTATGTATCCATGGACGTACTAATTATACTATGGACTTTTTGTATATGTATCCATGGACGTACTAATTATACTATGGACTTTTTGTCTATGTACGACGGTCTWTGGGCTATGTTTGGACTATGTATCCATGGACGTACTAATTATACTATGGACTCTTTGTCTATGTATCCATGTACGTATTAATTATACTATGGACTTTTTGTCTATGTATCCATGGACGGACTAATTATACTATGGACCTTTTGTGTACGTATTAATTATACTATGGACTTTTGGTCTATGTATCCATGGACGTACTAATTATACTATGGACTTTTTGTCTATGTACGACGGTCTATGTTCCCACTGAATGTACTGACATGTTTGGACTATGTACGTTCTATATACTATGGACTATGTTTCCATATGTACTGACTCGTGTATGTTTGGACTATGTACCCATGGATGTATGGACTTTGTTCTGTGTACTACGGACTTAGTTTCCATGGATGTACCGACTCATGTACTGTGGAATTTGTTTGATGTACCATGCCCGATGTGCCATACGTACTATGCTGCATGTTGATAGACGTGCTTATGTGCTAAGGACTTCGCTCTATGTATATATGGGTACCATGCCCTATGGACTATGAATTCTGTTTTCATGCCCATGTACTTCTTTTGCGCATTGAATATGTGCTCCCACGTAACGCATTGTCCCATGCCGCAGTTAGCATGCACTTTGGACTATGTGTCACGTCGCACTATGTGGTGAGCAGAGCAGTCATATGTGTGCATATTGTGGCCCACGTACTATGACCCATGTACTGTGCTATGGTACTGTGTCCCTTGCACTTAGTCAAGTTAGTAGTGACCATAAGGTATTATGATACTACTATCCAACCACATGCACTTTGGAAGTTTGGACTGTGTTACGTTGCACTAGGTGGTGAGCAGAGCAGCCCACATGATTATGCGTTGTACACTCTACACTGTGTACCGTGTATCATGACCAATGTACTGTGACCCATGTAACTGCGCTATGGTGCTTTGTCCCTAGGGCCCTTTTTAGTCTAATTACTATGAGGTATTATCTAATCGCAACTTGATCGTGACCAATGCACTGTGACCCATGGAACTGCGCTATGGTACTTCGTCCCTAAGGCCTTTTTTTGTCTAATTAGCATAAGGTATTATCTAATTGCAACTTGTGGACTCTACGATTTATGGCGATGTTTGTGTATGATGTGCGATGTGTGCATATGATTTGTTCTTGTGTGGCACTGCTTATGTCCGACGTTGTTCTAGAAGGTGCCGTGACTGCCGTCGAGCTGCTCTCCTGTCAAATTGAATGTGTTGCCTTGATGGCGCCCCTTGTTTAGTGTTGCTTGATAGGATTATTAGGCCGGTCACAATGCACCTGAGCATCTGCATCAAGACTGTATGTGTAGGTGCAGATCATGTATTGCATCTACAGTCTAGACAGGCCCTTTGTTCTATCGTTGAAATGCAGTTTGAAACTCGTTCTCTTGATTTTCGTTTGACTTCTGAAGAGTCAATTCTAGCAAAGGCAGGCATCCTCGCATGGGCAGCCCGGCCAAGTCCCACTTGCCAGGATCCTTGAAGTTCATTTCTGCCGGTGTAGCAGAGGGCAACGGTCAGCAATGTTAACTCTGACGAGCGGGACTTGGTTCCTGTTAAGGTCTTCCTTCATCCCGTTGATTACGAAGATCAACGGCCAAAAATAAGGAATCTGGAGTGTAGGATTATGTCAAGGTTGTTGTTGCTCGAGAAGCCAGAATCCTAGATGAGTCTCCTACTTTCCTATTTGACTTTCAGGAAAAAAAAAGAAGAAGAACAAAGAAAAGGGACTTTCACCCATACTAACTTCTGAGACACGTACAAAAACACAAGACCAAAAAAAAGGCAAGAAAAAAAGGCGGACGCGCAAGAAAAAAAGGCGGACGCGGCAGGATTTTTAGTGGGGGGTGGCGTCCCTTGGGCCTTTGCCACTCTCCTTTCAGAGGCACAGCCGCACAGAGGTGGCGTCCCTTGGGCCTTTGCCAGTCTCCTTTCAGAGGCACAGCCGCACAGAGGATCTCAAGATCATGCTTGCCCTGTTTGTCCTCTACCAGATTGAACAGTTTCACTTTTCGGACTCTTCACATGTTTTGTATGCCTTCCTCTTTTGCTCTTGTTTGTCCTTCTACCCCTTGTTGTTACGTACTTTCAGTGTGACTAACGAGCACCTCTAAGCAGTGCTAAATGGGCTGTGGTGAGCTGTTTTGAGTGCATGTAGCACTATTAGGGGACCTGCTTGGTTCACGATGGCTGTGATACAGATCTGTGGGGACGTCTATCGGAGGGGCTTTCTTGCTCAACAGTCTGCAGGGTTCTGCCTGTGGTGTGAGTAGGTGGTGAACTGCTTTAGGCTGTGTTGGTCCTGTTGGATGTGTACCGACTTGCCTGTGCTCTTCCGCCGGCTTGCCACCCGTCCAGCTTCCCATGGCTTTCACTGCAGCTAGTCCGGTTGCGGTGCACTTTTTGAGTCTGACTGCTTTGGTATCCCATCCTATGTATCCCAAGCGGCCGCGTTCGCCAAGGTCATGATCGCCGGCCGCGGTCAAGGCCGCGAGCAAAAGCAACTCGAGTTACTCGACAGTTACGAACAACACCACTTCAATGAGTCTGACTGCTTTGGTATCCCATCCTATGTATCCCAAGTGGCCGCGTTCGCCAAGGTCATGATCGCCGGCCGCAGTCAAGGCCGCGAGCTAAAGCAACTCGAGTTACTCGACAGTTACCAACAACACCACTTCAATGATTCATCTGCCGGATATGACCCGTATGGCAGGTGCAAAGATCGTACACACAGAATTGAATACTTAGACACACACACACACACACACACACACACACACACACACACACACACACAGAGGAAGAAGTGAGCAAAGAGAAATATCTAGGGACTGAGTTTTTTGGTAAAAAACTCGTCCAAATTTGCTGTTCCTGAGGCTCCAGCGTTTTACAAACGTCCGACCCTCAGGAACAACAAATTTTGACGAGTTTTCGGCCAAAAAACTCGGTTCCAATTTCGTTCAAAATATAAAAGATGTCCATTTTGACGAAATGGCAGTTAGACAATCAGTAGTACTGCTGGTAGAGAATGAGGTCAATCCTCCTATACTGGAGGGCAGTGGAGGCGGCTTTTCAAAGCTGTTGTCAGAAGCTCAACCTGTCTAGTTTGCTGATTCTGTTGGGACGATGGACCCGATTCCAAGCAGGTGTTGCTCACCAGATTGCCCACCAGTAGGCTGGAGCGTTCAACATGGTACCCTACCCTGGTGGATTCTCTTATCACCTTCCAGTGAAGGTGCGCCAAGCTGGCAAGCCCCCAACTGATGTTAAAAACAAAAAGAAAACGGAAGGACAATTCTCTACACATATCAATGCACAAACTATGTCAGGACAATTCTCTACACATATCAATGCACAAACTATGTCACTGTACTGATTAGAAACACACAGGGACACACACACACACACACACCCCACAAACACACACACGCACAGAGACTATGAGCACTGCCGCCGAGTGTAAGAGTGTTCGTAGTTGTGCAAAGGAGAAGGTAGAAGAATGTTGATACATTGTAACATTGACCTGCGGCGGCAAAAAGGGCCAGAGAAAGGATGTCCGTCGATTGATATAGGAGTGTTCGAATGGTTTGCTGTCGCAAGAAAGCAGCAGCGCTAGGTAAGAAATCAGCAACATCAGTCACGGCATGGAAAATGGTGGCGTCCTCCCACAGCTCCCAGTGCTCAGATCCTCAGAGGCATGTACAATGGCCATGTAATGGCCAGAGCATGATGTCCATCGTTCAGCACGATGGCGGAATGCTAATCTTCTTCTTCCTTCTTTTTTTTTTTTTTTTTTTCCTTCTCGTTTATTCTCGTGTCCCACTTTTTCTTTTCATCAATGATTATTCGGCTGAAAACAGGTTTCAGCATCCCTTAGTACCCTTACATGTGCCACCCACTCCACTTTTCTCTCCCTTATGGTCCGCAGAGGCAGAGGCAGAAGGCACTGTCTCTCCGCAACCGGACAGACTGTCACAGACACTTGCTGGGGGGTATGCTGTGGTAGCACATTTCCGAAGCTTCCTGATTTTTTCCTTCTTTTTTCTGTTTGGGTGAGATCGGGGTGAGATCGGTTGTGGCCCATGGCCCCCCCTTGTGGGCCCACACGTGTTTCTTTTTCCCCCTTTCGAAACCAAAAGTGTGACACTGCCGCCCGGACTCGTTTCTATTTTTTTGTTTGGTTTCTTCTCTTGCTGCAGTGTATGTCTGAGCTTCTCTCTCCATCTGATCACTGAGTTTATATGTGTCTGCAACATTTTGAAATGTCAGCATGTGGCTGCGACTCGCAGCCGCAGACGTACACTGCCGTCTTCTCACCCGCAGAGAACGCCCGGTCATTATAGCCGTATTTGGCGCAAGTTTCAGTCTAGGTACTGCGATAATAACCGGGCGTGGGCGTTGTATTCGGGTGAAGAAGGTAGCGCTGTTCTAAATTTCTCTAGTTGCATGTGTCTAACAGCAATTACGGTCGTGTTCGCGGTCGTGTTCGAATGCATCTGCCTGCAATCAGGTCAAGAGCTGAGTGGAAAAAAATGGGGCTTGGCCACAATACTCGCCAAACTAGAAAGTCGGAGTGCATACATATGCACACAGAAGGGTGCAAGATACCAAGATACAGCTGCAACAGAGCTGCTACTATTTATAGCATCGGATGCATCTCTCCGCCCTCTGTGTGAAGATGCAGTCCCGATTCTTCCCGTTTCGTGAATAGTAGTCTTTCCTTTCCCCTCTTTAAATTAGAAATAAATTTCTTGTTTCTCAAGACCAATGTAGCTCCTACCTTAACTGCAGAAAATACTTTGTACAATGTAAGCATTGGATTCTCGTAGGATTTGAGCTCGTGACTCATGGGCTGTATAATACAGAGTTGCAAACGTCACGAGGGACCGTCGAGAGGTTGTACCTTGCAGGCAGATGGGCTGGCTTGAGCGGTGGCATTTCACCTGAGCTGAAATGAAATCTACCCTAGCAAATGTACTCCAGATTACACCCGCATAGTGGTGTTCGTTCATTTCCCAACCCACTTAACCCGTTCTCCCCCATCACCACCACCCAGACACTTTTCCTTTCACCCTCACCTGGCTATCCCAGCAATGATGTCATCCGTTCCATGTTTCCTTTTCAGGAAACAACAACGCCCTGCCCGTTCTAGTACACTGCAGTCTCGACTCGCAATGGTATGCCCGTTCACATGACCCACCTTCACGGCTTCTCTCTCTCTCTCTCTCTCTCTCTCTCTCTCTCTCTCTCTCTCTCTCTCTGTGTGTGTGTGTGTGTGTGTGTGTGTGTGTGTCTCTGTGAGGATCGTTCCAACGCACGCACTGCGGCACTAGAAACAAGAAAATGCGTAAAAAAAAGAAAAAAAAAAGAGAAAATAGAACCAAGTCTTACCAATGACGATGGCAGTAGATTTCGCGAAATATCCTGAGTTTTTGTAAGAACTGAAAAGGTTTCGCTAGATATCAACGGCGATGACAACAATCCCAATCAAGTGAGAGATACAATTGCGCTGCAGTTGAGGCCTGCCTTTCCCTCCTTCCCCAACTAAGTAGGGCATACTCACGATAGATTCGTCCTATTCTTAACCTCCTTCCACCTCCTCCTTCCTCCTCCCCCCCCCCCCCCCCCCCCCCCCCCCTTGCTGAATCTTACCACCATCCGATCCAGGTACATCCACGAAGAAAAATCCTACCGTAATGCGGACTACGTGCTTACGTGTGCACGTATGCAAGGATCGTCTACGCCATGCTGCTCTTGTCTCGAATGACGTGGACGCACGGTGAAATTCCCTTTCACGAACTCCTAAACATCGTTTACGTACTGACTGTTTGCATGGGCGAGGCCGGGCGTGCATGAAAGCGATTCGAAATCCCCGCTGAATCTGACAATGACTCGATCCAGATACGTAGGCGGAAGTCATCATCGAGTGATAACTACTCGGAGTCCATGCTGCATGCTGCTAATGTCTCGGATGACGTGGACGCACGCGGAGATCCCCTCCACGAACTCCTAAAAATCGTTTACGTACTGACTTTGCGCATGGGCGAGGCCGGGCGTGTGTGAAAGCGATTCGAAATTCGGAATTCCCGCCGAATCTGACCATGATTCGATCCACATACGTGGGCGGAAGTCATCACAGAGCGACGACTCTTACTCCACGCTGCTTATGTCTCGGATGACGTGGACGTACGCGGAGATCCCCTCCACGAACTCCTTGTCGTTTATGTACTCGTTGTGCGCATGGGCAAGGCCGGGTGTGCGTCGCACAGGTGTGAAACCCAGGACGGGAAGACCCGCCGCACGGAGAAGGCGTGCGTCTGTAAAAGCCGGCGAAATTTCAGGTTCCGACAGCTCAACCCCCGTCTTCTCCAATGCTTTTTTGAAAACCATCCAGTACCGATTTGATTGGTTGGTCGGTGTAATCATCATCGTCATCATCCGGGAACCGACTTTCGGATTCCCGCCTTTGTCCACAGAACCCACTAATGGCGATGGCGGCCTCAACAGTACCTCGTAACCCGTTTGAATCACATTTGCGTTCGAATCCCCCCTTTCGTCACTCATGCTCCGAGGAGCCCATTCCTCTTCCAATCGTCTCACGAATGCCTCTACATCCGCCATAGCCGGTAATCTGAAGTCGAGCCCCGCTATGGCTTCTTCTTCCTCTCCTCCTCCTTCTCCAACCACTTTTCCTTCTCTTCCTTCTCCTCCTCCTCCTCCTCCTCCTCCTCCTCCTCCTCCTTCTCCTTGCCTTCGTTCTTCTTCTCCTCCTCCTCCTCCTCCTCCTCCTTGCCTTCGTTCTTCTTCTCTTCCTCCCCCTCTTCGTCCTCCTCCTCCTCCTCCTTCTCCCCCTTCTCCGGAATGTGGACGCGAGGTAACATCCGCCATAGCCAAACCTTGCGGATTCATCTCGATCCCTGCTTGAGCCTCTTTGTCTTCTTCTTCTTCTCTCGATTGACAAGACCTGTAAGCATTCGCTGTAGCTTGCTGCTCCGTGTCTATTTTTAGCTTTGCCTCAGGTTGAAGTTCCCCCCCTCCTCCCTCAACTGCTGCAGCTGTGGCGTGTGAATGAGCACCAGAACTGCAACGGGCTCGCAATTCTGATGATCCGATCCCGACGCCGGATGACGAGCAGGGATGAGGATTCCCCGCGGCGGCAGCCCGCGACGCCGAACTTTGTGGAATGTCTTCTTCCCTCGTTGCTGAGTCAGACTTAAAATGCTGCGCGCCAAATTTCAGGAAATTCACGTTGACCGAGATAACGTCGGTCAAATTTGCTCTCCCGGACTTCACCAGATCGAACTGCGAACGCCGGAACTCCATGATTGACGTCAACGAATTTATAAGCTCCTCTATGGCGGGGGCGCCCTCATCCGCACCCACCGCTTTCGCTTTTAATAGGACCCAGAAGGGCCCCCTTTCGCCGCATAACACCCTATATTTTGACCCCTCTGACATCTTGCCCTCATCTAGGGCAAAACCCACATTCAGTTCCGGAAATCCATCCCATGCCACCAGCCTCTGCATGCCGTCATTGCTCCCAATCTCTTCATCAGGCACAAAAGACAAATGAACGGTTCTTAGAGGCTGTGGGTATTCTCCTCCACCTCCTCCTCCTCCTCCTCCTCCTCCTTCCCCCCGATCTCCCACTCCTACTCTCTCTCCTTCCTTCCCTCCCTCCCTGTCCCCCGCCGCCGCTGCATCTCCGAATCTCAGCCGTCGGATTGCTTCGAGATACTGCATGGTGGTGCACTTCATGTCCTGTGCTCCGCGCGCGTAGATGTCGCCACGTGGCGTCCGTACAGCCGCAAAGGGGTCGTACATCCACTTGTCCCTCTCCGCCGCGACCACATCCATGTGCGAGTTGAGCAGCAAGGACGGCAGATCGGGATCTTTGCCCTGCCACGTCATCAGGATGATCGGCTTGCCCCGGACTGGCTCGATTCGCTGCGCGCCGAGCCCAATCTCCCGCGCCTGTGACATGATAAACTCCGCCGCCGCTTCGTAATCGGGATTGGGATGATCCGTGCGAATTTGCAGGTATCGCCGGAACCGTTCGATCGCCTCTTCATCACTCCTAGAGAACGATGATGATGACAATGATGATGATGAGGAGGGGGAGGAGGAGGAGGAGGAGGAGGAGAATGGCGACAATGACGACGAACTCACGAACGTAGCAGATGGCTTCGCAAGAGAGTGCATCAACAGAAACGCACAGACATGTGCCGGAGTGAAGACTTTCAGAAAAGCCATCTCTTATCTTATCCTATCTTATCCTTTTAGGATAAGGTTAGGAAACTTCGGATCGAAAAAAAAAAAAACAGAAACTTAGGATCGAGAAGAAGGACTAAGGCAGTCAGCTCGGCTCGATTGCCAAAAAACCGGGGCGACTGACGTCAACAGATTTCGATGGATTTTCCCACAGGATTTTGCTACAGGATGTAGACCGCAGAGAGCTTTGAATACGAGAGGTTGACATCAACAAAATTTTACCGTCAAACACGTGATATGGTGATCATCGCCCTCGGCTTCACTCCACAAACGAGCTGCTGACATCAACAATTTTTTTACCGCCGAGCATCGAGCATGGCGAGCGATTTGCTATTTTTGGCTCTCTGTTCTCCGAAAGGACACTCCGCTGTGTTGTTGTCCGTTCCTATAGACGCGCAAAGGAAAATAGCAGGTTACGCGGGTGCGGGTGATATCACTGCTATGCCTATGCCGCTATACGGAATTCGCAACCAACCTACCTTAAAGGTTCAAGAAAAAACTTATCAGGAAAAAAAATAACTTTCTTTCTTTTTTCTTTTTTTTTTCATAACAGCCATATATTTTTCTCTCACCTCACGTCTTTCTTTTCACTACCTACCACTACTCCTAAGGCTATACAGGGGACCCCTGCAAGCATAGCTTTCTACCTCTCTTCGGTGAAGATAGGTTACCTCTCTGGGTCGTTGGAGAGGGGTAAGGGCATGTTTGCCCCTTTGCCCTAACGTTTTAGGGTGTAGGGTTGGGGCCACCCGTGGGGGCAACGACCGAGCATTTTGCCGGTAACCCTGCCTCCCTATTCATCTTCCCCCACCCCCATCGAGTAACAGTAGTGTCTAAAGCCAACACTCTCCCACACACCACACTCAACCCACTCACACACGCAGGCGCACACCCGTGTTGGCTGAAGCCCTTACTGATACCCACTGGGAGGATCCAGCTGACTATCTCAGTTGGTTGGCACCAAGAGTGCTATGTGGCTTTCGTTTTTTTTCGTTTTTTTTTTGGAACACAGGCAGCCAAATGTCCAGGTACCTCCAGACAGTCCTACCTGGAGGTGCCTGGTCTCAAGCTAGGTCCATGTACAGCCAGGGGGTCCAGCGTTTGTAACGCTGGACCCTCAGGAACAACAAATTCTGAGTTTTCGGCCAAAGAACTCGGTTTCAATTTCGTTCAAAAAATAAAAGATGTCCATTTTGACGAAATGGTCGTTTGAAGTGATCATACTCAGTCATAGTGGCAGAATACTTTGTTGGATTGTGAATATGTGGTGGAATCTTGGTGGGACCACAGCAGGCTGAGCAGGGTATGGGCTCGGCCGAGAGTGCCTTGCTCGGCCCGGGTTGTTGCCGAGCATAACCTCAGACATTGTATTCTTTGCCTTGGGCACTGCGCCCGAAAAATATACTTTCACGCTGCGCTAGCGCTAGCGCCCTGACGCCGGCGGACCAGCAAGGCCTGGTCCCTCCGGCTGGACTATTGCCTGGGGAGGGGAGCTCCTCGGCTGCTAGGCCAGTGCGCGCACCCGACAGACGCACGTGGCTCCTTTCACCACGTGGCGTCTATTGTTGGTGACGTGGCCGTCCCACGACACGCGGGCGGGGTGACGCCTCACAAGACGGGCACATCTATCTGGGTAAGAGATGGAGTTGGGGGGGGAGCTACAACGTGGAGCAGACGAATGGCTGATGACCTTGGAGAAGGGATGCAGGCGGTTACAGGTGATTGTGGGGGGAGCTACAACTTGGAGAAGGGATGCAGGCGGTTACAGGTGATTGGGGGGGGAGCTACAACGGGGTGACGCCTCACAAGAGGTTTCGCCACATCGCGCGGGGGGTGTACAAATGAACGAATGGTCCGATCGCCAAGAGAACACCGTGGCCATCATCTGGGCATCTTCTTCCCGGATTGCCACGTGTCCTGTTGGGGTAATCCCGTCACAAATATCCTGCCATGGCACGTTCTTAGTTGCGATATTTATCCCTAGTTCGTCTGTTTCTGCTTCGAGACGCCCAGGGGTTTCCAGAGAACTTGCTTCCGCCCCCAAACGTAACAATCGCACTTCTTTAGCAGATGTCAAAAGAGACCTTGGTAGTTCCGTAATGTCGCAGTAATGCTTTTTGTCGCTGTATCGGGAGAGGAGCGGGATGATTTCTTCGTACAGGGTTTGAGGGGGTTCCAAAGAATCGACCATCCTCGAAATCTGCACGAAGGGTTTACCCAAGATCATCACCTTAGTCCTCTGAGCGTTCCTACTGGTCAGATGCATCGTTCTTACTATCGTTCAAGTTCTGGGTGGCGGGTAGTAAACACGCTGTCGTGCTAGCTTCGAGATTTCCTGGTCATCCTCATCACTGTTGTCCGCATCATTCGTCAATGACTTTCCGTCTGCGGATTCATCCCAGGAGAAAATGCGGAGAGTCCCTGCCATCATCGGCGAAACCCGTGGGACTGCGCTGATGGTGGTACGTACTACGAAGGGTTAGCCTCATGGTTACAACATAGGGCTTTCCTCCTGTATTTCGGAGGACGATAGATCGTCGTTCGAAATCCAGGTTTGCTCGTAACGCTATAAGAGCAGGAAGTCCAAAAAGAACGTCGTACGTATTAACATCTGGTACTACGACATCCCCAAGTGCGTGCACTTTTCCTAATCAGAAAGCGACATTGGTCATTCTTCCCACGGCCTTGATCTTTTCTTCATCTGCCGAAACGAGCTGATCTTTCTCAGTGAGCATGATCAGATCGTTTTTCCTTCCTTCTCTCTCGACTACTCTTAACGAAATAGCCAAAACGGCCGCTCTTGAATCAATGATTGCGTTATACGGAATTCCCCAAATTTCAATATCGCATTCTGCGGACTTCCACGGGATGGGTTTAATCCACAGAAAATGGTCGTCTTTCTGGATTAATCCTACGTGTATCGGATCCGAAGTGCCTGTCGGATTTTTCTTCGAGTGTGTGGCTTTTAGTCTTTGCGTTCGGTACTCGGGCCAGAGTGAATCGTTTTCGGTTCGCTTTGCAGTGCTGCAACATCCGCTCGTTGGCTTGTTCAGAGATCGTAAGCAAATGACCGATCAGAAGCGGAATCCGATGGTCCAACGCTCGGACGATGTTTAATACATCGATTTCTCCCGTGATGAAAGTGGGTCCTCCTTATTCCATTTCTCCTAGAGAAGGTCGCCACTTCACCACCTCTTTCTGTTCTGCCGCTGGGCTGATCGTTCCGATCATTCCAAGCCCGAGATAACCAAGTGATACGTACTAATCTAATGGGATTAGCTCGGCGGCCTCTTCCGTGGTGGCTAGGGCACTTCCCCCACCCTCTATTTCTTCCCTCAAAGCTCCGACTCGTCCTGGTCCGCTAGCGATGGGCGCCGCGGCCATCGGCGCGACCCCGACACGTTGTTGCGCAGGCCTGTGAGGGCAATCACGGGCTAGATGTTCAGGTTGATGACATGCATAACAGACGTTCAGATTGCTTGCGATTCCTCCAAGAGCGGGGGTCGGGGCTAACCCTTGCTGAATCGGAGGGGCACGCACCGCAATGGGCCGCATGTTCCTCATCATGGCTTCCAACCGAGCATTTTGTTCTAACTGCTCCTTTTTGCTTTTCTGAATTAGACTAACCAAGGTTTTGGTCAGCTCGAGTATGGCAGTGGATTCATTCGATCGTACGGGAGTCTCGATTGGGGGCGGGGGTAACATAGGATTCGGGAAAACCTAACAAAACAAATTGTTAGGTTTGCACGAAATCTATTTAAGATTATGATAGTACGTTTTCCAGGTTTCCTCCAGGAACAAAATTCTACGTGAAGTGAAACATCCGCAAAAAAAAGAACAGAAAATTATTTTTTCCGAACTACTGGAGGGGGCAAGGAAAAAAGCGGGTTTTTTCATAGAAAATCATGACCTGGTGCACCGTAGGTTCAATAACTGACATATCCTGATTTTTCGTTATCCAAAAAAATTGTGTTTATAGTCCTATAAGATGTGTAGCACGATGAATTTATTCGGGGGGTTTTCGAACGCGCAAACATATTCTCCTGTTCGTGAATACGTTCGCTTGAACATGGTTTCCCATACATGGGCGAATATATTATTTTTTTATTGTTTGTTTAAATTTTTTTTCCTATATTTTTATTTTAAACTCGTGTTTGGCTAAGAATTTCAAGGTGTCACCGAGACAAAAGTTGTTTGTATTCTTATTTTAAATGATATATATTTTTTGATAAGGGGTTCATTGTTAAGTTCAAAACTGTTTTATAGTCCTGTAAATTATTTTGTGCAGAGCTTGGTTTTTACCTAACTGCGAAAACAAACTTATAGTCCTACAAATAAGTATTCACCAAAACACGTTTTTTTTTACATCTTTCAAGTTTGCCTTGTCATTCTTAAAAATTAACCTGTTTGAACTCTGTTTTTTTGCCAATCTACTGAGAATGAATTATTGTCATATAAAAGCATTTTGCAAGGAAGGGTTTTCTTGCACATTTTGAGGAACGCTAGACTTTTCACCTGATTTTTTGCCTCCTTTATCGCAAAACGATTAAAATTGCTCTCTTTTTGTGTAAAAAGATAACAGTTTGACTTTTACTTTTTCATTCTATAAGAAAGGTTTTCTCCGATTGTGAGGTTTTCACGAATCCCCTGTTGGGTGCCGTTCTTACAGGCGTTGGCATTACAGGGACGGGGACACTTGGGATCTCACTTGGAACTGGTCGTTTAGGGGCTATCAGATTCTGTTCTATGTAGGTGACAGGACCCGACACAAACCCCATGTTTTCGAATTTGTTTTGCAGCGCAGCCAATTCGGCTTTTGCCCTTGCGAGTTCAGACGAATCTCCTTCCCTAGAATAGTACTCTCCTTCCAGGAAGTTCACCGCGAACTTCCATTCTATGTCTTCTGCAGCGTCCATGATTTGCTGTAATGTATATTTGATGGGGGAAAACTGCTTCCGCAGCTTCGCCCTTATTGTTCGGCTGCTGAGT